ATTGGAGGATAATCTCAGGAGGGATCTATGGGAGATAGGAGTTGAATGAGACTGGATTTTGTTGGCCCAGGACAGGGTCCGGTGGAGGGCTTTGGTTAATTCTGTGATGAACCTTCGAGTTCCGTAAGCCATCTAGTTAGTTAGTTAATTAATTTCTTAGGGATTTTAAATTCTTTCATAGTTTCCCAAAGCTCCAGTCTTCTTACTTTGTCGTGTGCTTGCTTAATGTCTATAAAGAGGTGTTCCAGTCTCACATTATATTCATATGTCTTCTCCAAGATTGTTGTTAATGTAGAAATACGGTCAACTGTTGACCACCCTGGTCTAAACCCCGCTTGATATTCCCCTAGTATGGTCTCAGATCTCTCATTTATCATCTTTGTTATTGCTACAGACAGCATTTCATATACTATGCTTAGTAATGATATCCGTATGTAATTTTGACATTTCATGCGTGATCCCTATTTGTATATTGGACATATAATTGCTTGTTTCCAATCTTGTGGCATTTTCTCTTTGCCCCAGATCAAACTGATTAATTTATGTATCCTAGACGCCACGGTGGTCTAGCGGTTAGAACGCTGGCCTTGTAATCCTGGGGTCTCGGGTTCGATTCCCGGCGGTGCCCGAATTTATAACTTGTGTTGGGCAAGGCCGTGGTCTAGGCAACACGGAGTTTTCCTCCGTGGCATCCCAACAATTACCCCATTCACACACAGAAGAAGGCAATGGCAAACCACTTCTCGATCATCTGCCAAGAACTTATATGAACAGGTCCCAGTCCGAGAAAAGGATGGAAGGATCCTGGTCATATGGACCTGTCGTCAGACAGAACACTAAAAATAAAAATAAAAAAATTTCAGGACACTTGCTGTTGTAAAAATACCACACCAAGTTTTACCATCGACACAAGTATACAGTTAAAAACAAATGTACAGTAGTCGGTACCCAACCGTGCGTTTCGCCAACGTCATACCTTGGGGGGGGGGGGGGGGGGAGGGGGAACATTTCATCCACATTTTTGTAAAATTTCCTTATTTGATTATTTTCAAATTATTTTGTATTTCATCCAAAAATTCCCTTTCTCTTTCCTTTTCTTCCTCCTTATAATTGCTTTAGCATTCCTTCTTTCTTTATACTCCTTTAGGTTATTTCTGGTTGGTCTTTGTAACATCCTACATCTGGCTTTTATCATTCTTCTAGGGCTTTAGCAATCTCCTCATCAAACCAATCTTTTTTTTTTGTCCTCCTTTCCTCCCAATACATCTTGAGCGGTTGATTTGATGGTTTTCTTTGTTTTTTCCCCAAACATCTTCTGTATCATCCTCATCATTGACTTTTTCTGCTTGTAATGCTTGTGTTAATTTATCTTTAAACTCTTCCAATTTTCCTTGCTTTTTGAGCTCCTCCACATTGTAAGCTTTGTTCTTCTCTCCTGGTGTCTTCCTTGTTTTGATTGCTAACTTCTGTCTTATTTTCAATCGTACCAAACGGTGATCTGAATCAGTATCTCCCCCTCTACAACTTTTGACATCTATAATATCTGTTGTATGTCTCCTGTCTAATTTGTTTCTTCATGTTTGGTTTTTAACCCGGCCATCTGCAGATATCCATGTTTCTTTATGTATTTCTTTGTGTGGGAAAAGGTACTTTTAATAACCATCTCTTTACTTAATGCAAAGTCTACTAACTTCCTTCCATTCTCATTTGTTTCTTCATGTTTGCTATACCGTCCGACTGCCGGCCCAAACTCTTCTTCGTTTCCAATCTTGGCGTTGCAGTCTCCTAGTACTATCTTAACATCGTGTTTTGGTAATCTGTCATAGGTTCTCTCCAATATCTCTTAGAACTGTTCTTTTTGTTCTTCCTCTGCGTCAGTGTACACGTATCATAGAGATGTTAAAAAACTTCCCTCTTAACCTGAGCTTACATATCCTTGAGGTCACCATCTCATATTCCATAATATTATGTCTGATAGTTTTCTTTACCATAAATCCAGTACCTAGGATGTTGGCTTCTTCCCCACTATTAATCAGTATATAATCTTGTAACTCTGTTACCTCTGTTTCCTTCCATCTGTTTTCTTGTAGTGCCATGCCACTACATCTATCTTATACTTTAATAACTGTTGTTCCAATCTTTTATTAGCTCCGGGCTGAAAAATACTTCTTACATTCCATATTCCAAACATTCTCGTTTCTCCCTTTTTACATCGCGGAGGTCGGCATAATGTTGAGGCTGTCCTGCTATTACTGTGATTTGGCTTCTCAACTGGTTTTGTTTTTACGGTGTGGGGTAGTTGGCCCTATGCCCAACCCTCAACCTGAAGGACCAGGTCATTTGATTTTGGGGTTTCTGTCCCCTAGACCGGTTGGTTTCACCACAGCTCCCGGAGCGCAGTCCGCACCTGGTTTTACATCAGAGTGCATTCTCCTAGCCTTTGGATAACCAATCCCTATATGCAAGGCAGCACAACCCTCCTCCTTTCTCAATCGAGCTTGGGACCATCTATGGCGGAGTTTAGAACTTGTATATGCAGTGTTTAATTAATGGTATATTTGTTTTTAGTATTAACCCAGAACACCAACATTTTGAGATGAAATGTATAGACAAAGTGGTGGAAGAATGTGACCTCATGCTTTGAACAAAGATTGCAAATAATTGAATGTTCTTCTTGCAGCGTACGACTGTCCTCTTGTTGAAGGAATCTACAAATTTGTTCAGTCAATAGCAGGTGCTTCAATAACCTGTGCACAAGTCCTTGTGGATGGTTTGGCTCGAATAGCTATCAACTGGTGCGGGGGCTGGCACCATGCACAGAGGTGAGCCGGATGAAGATTCAGATTGCTGGTAGAAATGATCAGTTGATAAATGTAGTACAATATTGTCAAAAGAAATACTAGATTAAAATTTATAATTTTATGAAATAACTGGCCCCCTACAATGAATACTGAGTTTCTTTTCGCATGAGTGAAGCATCTGGATCACGAAACTCGTCTGACTCACTTCCAACTTTTGCCGAGGGAACAAATGCTGGTATTTTACCTTAAAATCAACACAGGATGATATACTTAAGTGCTGAGACAACTTTGCTTTATATGTCAGAATAATAACCCATGCTACAAAGTTTTGGCGTTTATTTGAACTTTTACAGCGTTATAGTACATGACTTGAATCTTGGAATGTTTTCTGGTTTCGATAAAAAGGGTAGACTCTATGAAATTATGGAAATGGAAAACATATCCCTTTACAAAAACTTTCTTTTTGTGCAAGAACCAGGCTATTACCAGTGTTTGAAGCATAACCGCTGTTTAAAATTTCTATGTTGATGTCTGGCTACGTTTCTACCTTGGTCTGCTGTTTTATCATAGTTTCTAAGACATCTGCAGTATTGGTCATTCCACTAAGCAGATGTAGCTGAGTGATTAGTTTTCACAGTCTATCACAGTAATCTGACATACTGTCAATTACAATAACTCAATAGAAATTAACTTTATGTATAAAGAGTGGATTACAAAAGTCAGGTTAGTTTACATTTAAGTATTTTAGCTGATTTAACATCTTGAAGGTGTCTTAAAGGACGCCTACACCGTTCGTTCGTAATTCTACTGTAGGTTTGTATGTATTTTTTCTTAGATTTGATCCTTTAGTTCAATTTTTTGAAAACCAGAGTTACACCTGAAGATGGCTGTCTTCTGGGTGGTTGTGCTGTGTAGTCTGGCAGAAGTTTACCAACATTTCGGAAGTCCTTGCTGCCGCCGTCATCAGGGCAATTGCTGTGATGATGGACGTCGGTAAACTTCTACCAGACTACGCAGCGCAACATCCCAGAAGACAGCATCTTCAGACTCACCACCATGAAAACCTCAAATCCTGCACAGAGTTACACCATCTCCATTGAATTTGTGAACTGGTGTGATTCTGGCAAGGAGGGGCATCGACTCACTCTGCCAAAGCATCGATGGTTGTATGGTTGTTTCCAAACCACATCTCTTGGGATGGGCATTTGTCATGGCATCCAAGATAACCAGATTTGAAGATTTCCGCCTTCTGGGTTGTTGCGCTGTGTAGTCTGCTCGATGTTAACCAACGTTTCAGAGGTCATACTGCCTCCGTCATCAGAGTATGAAGATTTCTGTCTTCTGGATTGTTGCGCTGTGTAGTCTGGTCGATGTTAACCAACGTTTCAGAGGTCATACTGCCTCCGTCATCAGAGTATGAAGATTTCTGTCTTCTGGATTGTTGCGCTGTGTAGTCTGGTCGATGTTAACCAACGTTTCAGAGGTCATACTGCCTCCGTCATCAGAGTATGAAGATTTCTGTCTTCTGGATTGTTGCGCTGTGTAGTCTGGTCGATGTTAACCAACGTTTCAGAGGTCATACTGCCTCCGTCATCAGAGTATGAAGATTTCTGTCTTCTGGATTGTTGCGCTGTGTAGTCTGGTCGATGTTAACCAACGTTTCAGAGGTCATACTGCCTCCGTCATCAGGGTGATCACCGCTGTGAGAACCTCAAGTCTTACATAACCAGATTTAACTGCATGTAACTTTATACTGTGGTGGTATCTGAAAAGAAAGTTGACATTAGTCATCCTCAGAATTTTGTCAAGCTAATAGATTGAATTTGATAATGAATTAGATAATAATGGCAAATATGTCACAAAATATTATAGAAAACTTGCAGTCAGCAGCTGAGGAATGCTTGCATGGAGGTTGAGATTAATTCAAGATGTGATGTGTGAGACTAAAATGCTGAAATGTATACCTGGATTTTGTAACCCATTTTTTAGATATAAAATATTTTCTGTAGTGTTACTGTATTTCAGAATGTGTCAATATGATGAGCCCTGTATTTGGGGGACTTATAACTCACATTTTATCTCTCTAGGGATGAGGCAGAGGGATTCTGTTATGTCAATGATATAGTCCTTGCCATTCACAAACTGAGAGAGAAGTTCAGCCGCATCCTGTACATTGACTTTGATCTTCACCACGGTGAGTAATACAGGAGTATATCTCGTACAGAAAAATTCGAAGTTTGTCTTAAATATGGATTGGAAATCCATAAACAAACTTAAGACTTTCACGTTTACTAAGTATAGCCACATGACAAGTCAGTAAAGCAGTTTTAGTTTATCAAAAAATTATGTTAGCTACTCTGAAAAAGATGGTAGATATAATAAAACAGCGTGAATCTTCTCTCACTTACATGTAGTTGATTTAATTACCTTTTGGATAGTCATAATACTGACATGTTTAAGAAGTTGGTAGAATGCGCCAAAAATCGATGTTCTGTGACCTTATTTTTGTGGTCAGAGAATATGGAAAGAGTTGAATTTTTGGAAGAATTGCAGTTCATCTAGGTGGTAACCATCCAGCCAGATAAAAGAGCATGAATATGTAGAAAGATTTAAAGGATGTCAGGTGAGGGACGTGCACATTCTACGTGGCCGAAGACTGTAATGCATGTTGAGGTTAAGGAGCAGGTCATTGAGCATATCTAGGACAGTCGAGTCAACGTGTGCATCTGAAATAAGCATGCCTCAGTCATGGAAAAAAGAATTAGCACTCAAGTGGAAACTAAAAACTTGTAAACCATTGCGCTAAACTCATTGAAAGGTAGGGCAGTTGTGTATAAAAATAAGATATAATGCAGATGACTGGCTTATGAGATCTTGCACATTTGAAAATTCATTCAGTAGTAATTTGCCCATATACCATGCGATTTTGAGTTTGAGGCTGTTGATATATCTTCTGGAGTTCTAAAATTGTTTTTCTCTTTTAGGATCTCAGGTTTTCACGGTGATGAGTCCGAAGATTGCTGTCTTCTGGGTTGTTGTGCCGTGTAGTCTGGTAGAAGTATAACGACGTTTCAGAGGTCCTTGCTGCCTCCATCATCGGGCAAACTCATCGTCAGTAACATTCTACCAGACTGCATGACGCAACAACTCAGGAAACAGCAATCTTCATTGTTTGTGTCTTTCTGTCGTTACAGGGAATGGAGTGGAAAATGCGTTTTCCTTCTCACCACATGTTATGACACTCTCGCTGCACAAATATGAGCCAGGTTTCTACCCTGGCTCTGGGGGGCTGTCAGATGTGGGATTGGGTCAGGGTCGGTATTACACAGTAAATGTGCCTCTCAAGGAAGGTGTCAGGGATGACAATTACTTCACTATTTTTCAAAGGTTGGTAATATGTAACAATTTTATTACTTTTGTCTGCTGAGTATTACTATTCACATATGTTAAGAATTATTTAAAAGTATATAGTTACAAAAACAAATACAATGTTAAAATTATTACTTCATGTCTTATGTTACATTACAGTGGACACCCGTAGAATTTAATTTAGTCCTTGAAAACCTTCATTATGTGAATGTGGGAAATACAGATTAAAGGCCTAATTCATTCCCAGACCATTATTCATATTTTATCTTATGCCTCTCGCTAATTGCAGTCACTATTAATTCACATTTAAGTAAACAATTTGAATTAAACACAAAGTCTGAAAGACAGCTTTTCCAGACTGAACTCCAGATGCTTGCAAATGAGTGCCATTGATTGGCTGAAGCCAGCTAAGCCTTCTTATTGGATCTCAGAGTGACTAAAATTTGGTGAGTGCGTGTACTTTGTACGAGGTGCGATCGGAAAGTTTCAAGACTGCGCGTATAAAATCCCGTACACTTATCTCAGGTATTAAATTCATCCATCACTCTCGAAGTAGTTCCCCTGGGAGTGAACACAACGATCCCAGCGCCGCTGCCAAGCCTGGAAGCATCCCTGGAAATCTTTCTTTGTCAGCCTGTCAAGCACCATCTGCGATCCTTAGCTCCGTGTGACTTCTTCCTCTTCCCAAAGATTAAAATTCAGCTAAAGGGAAGGAGATTTGAGACGATAGAAGAGATTCAGGCAGAATCGCAGATGGTGCTTGACATTCAGTATTAAATGTGGGGTGTGTAGTTTTTGTCTAGTCTTGAGTAGGTTTCTGCAGATGTGGAAGATTACTGCAAATGTGTTGAGTGTGCGAGTTTGTGTCACGCTGCATACCACAGAACATAAATGTAATGGCAACTGTGCAGACATGAAACTTCCATGCCCTTATTTGTACATAACATTATTACAGTAAACTGTAAATTATCCAGCCTTTATTGAGGACATCCTACTGTGTAATAGGTATGATACAGTAATGATATAATTAATATCTGTCCACACAGCTTAGCTTAATGTCTTGTTCTTTTCCACAATAGCATTATATGTTTCGGTCTAATCCAGACCATCTTCAGGTGGCATGTAAGGTTTTTTATTGAACTGTGTGTGATTTATGATATATTGACATTTAAGTTACAAAATACAAAACAAATATATAAGATGCTATACATTAGGTCTGTAGTTAAAAGATAAAACTTTAAGAAATTTTTAAAATACTTTGTTATATTTTTTATCTAAGCTTAAAATTACATTAAATAAATAGGTAAGTGAGCAAAACACCCCATTATTGGCTCTATAAGGATCCTCGAAAGCTATATTTTTTGCATAATAATTATCGACATTATCCAGTTTGCAGATTAAACTTGACCATCTTAGTTTTACATAAATGTGGACGTGTGTGAACTAGACTTTCATTCTTTGTCTACACTGTACTCTCCGCTTTGTGGGGGTCTGCGGTAGATGTGGTCGGACAATGGAGTTTTATTTTCTCAGCCAATCATGGTCATTATCAGTGGTAGAGTGGGGATGTTTGTTTCAGAGGTCATGGGGGCGGCTAAATAACGTAGTGGTTATTACAGGATACATTCAGAATTAGTAAGGGAGTTTTTATAGCAAATCTAAAACTTCTTGACGATGGTGAAGAGTCAATTGAATAAACATTTTCTTGGATATTATCCATCGTCTAGTAAATATAAAACGTAAAACGACGTTTCGTTTTACTTTGTCCGGAGATAGGGATTAGCTCTATCTAGTGGGCCCAACTGTGTAGGAACCTGAAGACGGAGATAGAGTCCCATCTCCGAAACGTCGTTTTACGTTTTATATTTACTAGATGATGGATAATATCCAAGAAAATTTTTATTCAATTGAGTTTTTATAGACTTACAGTATGAAAAAATTCCTTGTCTGAAACAGGTGTTTCTGAAGTGTCAGAACTAGTGTTCATGGCTTGTGGAGAAGCTTCAAAAACTGCAACAGGAGCTCGTTTATAAAAGCCGTCAAATCCCTATATAACATGAAGTAGTGTGATCACTTGAGCAGCCATTTTTATCCATCATGGATGGTCCTGTCATTTGGTGGCATATAACCTATACATTGTGACATGAACCAAGAAACATAATGTCCTGTTTTTTCTGGCCATCTAAGCTGAAACCCAAATTAGTATAATGAAATGCCAGTTCTTTCTTGTATTATCTGAAGCTTTCACGGCGACCAAGTATAATTAATTCTTCTCAGGCTACCAGCCGTGTAAGGTGGCTTAATGAAGAAAACACCAACAGTACCCTGAGGACGAGGACGGAGTTGGTTCTCGAAACGTCAGCGTTTTCTTCATTAAGCCACCTTACACGGCTGGTAGCTTGAGAAGAATTTATTATACAGTTCTTTCTTGTTTACCAGTATAGCCAACAAGGTTTGGTCAACATTTTGTCCTAACGCCGTGGTGGTCCAGTGTGGAGCAGACTGCATCAATGGAGACCCCGCGTGTGGCTTCAACCTCACACCTCGTGGCATCGGTCGATGCATCGAGAATGTTTTGGCATGGAATGTGCCAACCCTATTTTTAGGTGGAGGTACAGTTCAATTGTATTGTTCCCTATATATAGACCATTAATGCATTCCTTAATAAAAATGTGACAGTTATGGAGTAATGTGCTCACATATTATAATGTTGAGTAATTCCAGTGAAGTCATAAAATTAAGCTCCAAGCTCATTTTTTGCTCCTGGCATCTTAGCTTTCTCATTTGATTTTACCAATTCGGACACTTCGTTCATTCTTTCTGCATGTAGAAATGTGTATTGTCAAGAAAGATACAACATAAGAGATAATGGTGTTAAATACTGAACATTGAATTCTGATGTCCATTATACTCCCTGTACACATTGCAAATACATGTGCATCTTCTAGGGGGCTACAACCTGCCGAACACAGCTCGCTGCTGGACGTACCTCACTTCAATCATACTTGGTCTCCAGATCACTTCGTCCATTCCAGATAGTAATTTGGTAAGTATTCAGATATATGATGTGAATCTTTCACGGCGGCTTTCATTTATAAAGTCTTCTCGGGCTATCAGCCGTGTTAGATGGTGATTAATCACCGACGTAGTGCGCTATGAGCCACATAGTCAACAGCCTTGAAAATGAGGACAGAGATGTTCCTCGAAACGTCGGCAATTAATCACCATCTAACACGGCTGATAGCTCGAGAAGACTTTATTAAAGTATTCAGATGTTGGATTGTGGCGTATTAAATGCGTAGTCAAAGAGTTTGTGAACTCGGCCTGTATCATGATGGCTTTTACTATATATTGCTTTCAAAGTAATTCCCTTCTGCCGTCACATATTTCAGCTAGCATTCGTAAATTGCTGGATGCGCTCTGACTTACGCACTGCGCTCGTAGCCTTATTATGACTTCTGCAGACTGAAATCTTCGTCCCTTTGAGAAGACTTTCCTTCATGGGGACAGGTGATAATGATAAGGGGTGGTCCAGTGACTGAGAATGCTGTGGAAACATATTCCCATCACTGTTGGTCGGATACAGGTGCACCAAATTAGACCATGGAGCTGGTGCATTGTCTTTGTGGATCATCCAGTTTCATGAAGCTGAGATAATTTGCAGTGGATAGTTTCTTGCAAACATCAACAGTTTCATCAGTTGTCCATCTGCTGTCCTCTTGAGTAGTAGCAATTTGGGTTGTTGCACCGTGCAGTCTGGTAGACGTTCACCAGGTGATGAGTCATCACCCTGATAATGGCGGCAGCAAGGACCTCTGAAACGTCTTGAAACTTCTACCAGATTACATGGCACATCAACCCAGAAGACAGCCATCTTCAGACTCACTGCCACGAAAACCTCATCCTACATACTAGCAATTCATTGCTCATTATGGGTTACTGATGCCCTTGCTTTCCATACGCTGCCCTTCTTCATTACACTGGTCAACACGTAAAATGTTATGAAAATGAAACTTACCGATCTTGATTAATTTTAGGCTGCTGAACACGAAAATCACATTAAAATTTGTCGGTTGGCTCGTGTTTTCGAATTACGGCTGGGGTATCACATTGGTGAGTTACTCTACATTATTGTCACCACCCCGCTCTGCATTATGTGAAAAGCTGTTGCCGCCTCAAATGCATCTTCAACTCTTGCAGTATTCCTCGAATCCGGCCAGGTACCGGGTAATTTGTTCTCAGTTAACGGTTCTCTGTGAGATTCCTACTTCTTGTTCAGCATTTGTGTCGTGTAAGATTAATATGCCCTGTAATTGTGTGAATAGCCTGGATAACGTCTTTTACGTATGTGGAGAAGTCACGTTTGCTTCAAGAAAGTGTACATTAACTAGGCCATAAAAAAGGCTTACGAATTGTACTTTTGGTGTAAAGTAGGCGACCAGGACAAGAACAGGGCTCCACACACATGCTGCACCACCTGCTCATCAAAACTCAACGCGTGGGTGAATCGTAAGGGACGTTCTGTGCCTTTCTCAGTGCCCATGGTATGGAGGGAGCCAACAAATCACATCACAGACTGTTATTTCTTTATGGTGCCTCCTATTCGAAAAGGGATGACAATGAATAAAAAGTGGACAGTGACGTACCCAAATATACCATCTGCAATTCTCCCCGTCCCTCACGGTGAACTACTACCTATTCTTGAACCACCTGAAGATGAAGACGCTGATGATGTTCATGTTGAGCTTGATATACACGAAGAAGTACATCAGCTGTCTACGTTAAGGGATCCACCATTTTGTATAAGCCTCTATCCTTTTGAACCACATAAGATCACAGAAAGCGAGCTTAATGACCTCATCAGGGATCTCGAACTGCCGAAGAATAAGGCAGAGCTTTTGGTCTCGAGGCTAGAACAGTGAAATTTTCTAGATCATTCTGTGAAAGTGACAAAATTTCGTACTCGAAATAAAGACCGTGATAAATTCTATCAAACAGAAGGCGAACTCACTGACTTCTTATGGAAAAACTGGGGTGCAACTTGTCATTGAAGATGCATTTCTTGCACTCACACTCGGATTTCTTTCCGGTAAACTGTGGTGCCGTCAGCGACGAACATGGTGGGTGTTTCCAACAAGACATCTCAGCGATGGAGCAAAGATACAAAAGCAAATGGAGTGCCGCCATGTTAGCTGATTATTGTCGGATGGTGGAAAGGGATGCTTCAGTAGCTAAATATAAGGGAAATGTGAAAAGGCGCCGTGTTTGACAAAAGTATGTTCATAGCTACATTTAACTGCCATATAACTAAATAATACCTTGTATAAGTATAACAAACAATTTTTTTTCAGAAAACAATCTGCCAATTTAAGCACTATTTCCGTGTTTAGCACCCCAAAATCTATACAGTAAACTTACTTTCATGCCCATAACAAGAAATGACCCAAAATTTGTCCAACAGTGTTATTGGCGCTGCTTTTAAAGCTGTGGGCTAGGTATATGTGGTTAAAACCTCAATAGAGGCACAAGGATATTCAGAACACCTCTCCGTCTATTTTCTGGCCAATTCATGCATCAAATTTTGATCCCACACTTCCTGTATTTTCTCAAATAATGTGCTTAATATAAGCTTTGTAAATATTTAATATGATTAATGGAGTAGTGCAGAGATTAAAAGTTTAACTTCGATGGTGGATACGTCATGGGTTTTGCCGACACATAGACTTGTCGGTAGATGTCAGGATTTTGGAGAAACATGCTGGCTCCATCTTCAGGGCTGAACCCCCACTTCAGCACTGAAGATGGAGACAGCATGTTTCTCTGAAAGACTGGCATCTAGCAACTAGTCTTCACAGCACCAAAATCCATAAGAACATCATCCTTACCGTTTGTCCGTGTTCTTCAGTGTTGTGACATCGTGTGGACTTGTAGGTCGATATCAGAATTTTGTAGAAACCTTCAGAGACATGTTTCTCCAAGATGAAGGTATCAACCTATGACTCCATATGGAATCACAACTCAGAAGAACATTGTCAGTCTTCACAATCATGAGAACCTCAATCTCACGTTACCTTCACTTTCTATGATGGAAGGCGTGGAAGTGACTTATTTGCAAAAGACAAACTAGTTCCCATTGGTAGATTTTTCATAGCGTAGTGTAACATGTGTTCAAGATGACTGTCTTCTATGTTGTAGCACTGTGTAGTCTGGTAGAAGTTTACAAACATTTCAGAGGTTCTTGCTGCCTCATCAGTTGGTAAATTTCTACCAGACTGCGCTACACTACAACCCAGAAGATAGCCATCTTCAGACTCACTGCTATAAGATCCTCAGATTCTACTTTGCATGTGTTTACATCATGAGAAGTTGGTACTCATACTTACCGCTACAGTGCACTGTTTTTTGTGCAGGACTTCATGTGCTACAGCCCTGATTTTGAGCTGGACATCGTTCGTGGCAACCGATCAGATCTTAATACTGCCGAGGACATGAAACACCTCACAGAAACCATATGCAGTGAGTACCATCACACGTGAAGTACAGTAATGTGATGTCGAGGCCTTGGTTCTCAGAAAGAGACACACTGGCATGACAGACTATGTGTGTAGCTTTCAGAAGTAGTTTTGCTGCTGTAAAATACGAGGTGTGATCGAAAGGTTTCCAGACCGCGTATAAAAACCCGTACACTTATCTCAGGTATTAAATTCATCCATCACCCTCGAAGTAGTTCCCCTGGGAGTGAACACAACGACCCCAGCGCCGCTGCCAAGCCTGGAAGCATCCCTGGAAATCTTTCTTTGTCAGCCTGTCAAGCACCATCTGCGATTCTGCCTGAATCTCTTCTATCGTCTCAAATCTCCTTCCCTTTAGCTGAATTGTCATCTGTGGGAAGAGGAAGAAGTCACACGGAGCTAAATCCGGCGAATAAGGAGGGTGCAGGATGACGGCCATGGTGTTTGAGGCCAAAAACTGCCGAACTTTGAGGGCGGTGTGCGCTGGCGCGTTGTCATGATGCGTCGCATGTGGAGTTCTTCCTTTAGAATCAGCTGACAGGTCCCATAGCCTATCCCAACAATGTCGCACAAGTCGTTGATGGTACGACGTCGATCTTCGTAACATTTTCGGGCGTTGTGCTCGAAGATGGTCGTCCAGAACGCTCGTCATCATCGACAGAGGTTCGGCCATTTTTAAAACGTGAATGCCACACAAAAGTTTGCGGACTCCCCAAATGCTTGCTTTAGCATTTCACAGGTTTCCGTAGCCGTTTTGGCGAGTCTTTGGCAAAATTTGATGCACACGCCATTCCGAAATCGCAGGAGGGTCGGTGTAATGCACTACCAAAACGCCCGTAACTAAGAAACAAATGCTAATTCGATGATGCCGGCTGGCACACTGATTCACTATGAATGTAGGCCGCACCCCCTAGCGGCAGAAGCTCGTACTACATCTGGTTCGCCCTCTATTGACACAGTCTATAAACTTTCCGATCGCACCT